TAGGCAAGACATTTCATTCGCTATCAGCCAAGTTAGTCAGTTCATACACAGGTCGTGTCTGCCTCATCTTGATGTAGTTTATCATATTCTTTGGTACCTTAAGTCCTTGTCTTGGACTTGGGTTGTTTTATACATCAGGATCTCAGACGGGTTCTTTAACCTGTTATTCAAATTTACATTAGGGGAGCGAGTGATAGTCGATCTACTATGAACTTCTGTGCTTTTTGAAGGACTCATCTTATTTCTTTGAAGAGCAAAAAACACGTAATTGTCTCCGCTCGTCAATAAAGGCAGAGTATTGGGCACTGACACTTGGCACGTGTGAGATTATCTGACTACAATCGATTCTTGGTGAGCTAGGATTTACACTGACTTCTCTATCTACATTATATTGTGATAATCGATCTGTTATTCCGCTTGCTTCTGACTCTGTACTACACGAGAGGACGAAACAAATAGAGATCGATAAGGTTAGTTATGGTATTGTTACTCTATTGTTTGTAGAAATCAATAATCAGGTTGCGGATATTTTTACCAAACGTGTCACTCTATCCATTCTTCGGGACTCCGTTGTCAAGTTTGACTTAGTTGACATTTTTGCGTCTAACTTGAGGGAGAGTGTTAGAGATATAGTCTAGTTTATTAGGGTTTCTTTTCTCTTTTTTGCCCTTACTATGACTTTTATGTTTTACCTTAGACCAGAGGAATGTTCAGGTCACTTTATACTATTGTTTGACTATATATACAATGCTCTACTCTTAGTTTGGATATCCCTTTTCACTCACAGATATTCCAAGTAATACTGAATCAGATTTTCATATATATCAAATCACAAAAATTACGTCAAAATATTCGAGAGAACTATAATAAAACACACTACCATTAAACTTTAGTGCTTCATAACATAAGAGATGCAATCTGCGATTATCTCCAGGGTACTTGGTTTCAAACCTCACAAAAACAAATTTCATAAGTCTAAGCCCATCAAATATAGAAAGGTTAGAATTTGAATGCAAAACTTTAGGCTATCAAGCACCGTGCCTTGGAGAGAAGATCCAGATCTGAGTTTCTGACGCCCAAACACTACTGGCCATTCACACTGGCAATCAGAACGTTTTGCTAACATGTAAATTTACCTTCTGCTCAAGCATCTTTTTGCACCGCATATGATGTATCCTAAGACAAACTTCCTGAAGCATTTCCTCAAGCCGTTCTATTTTTGTATTAATTTGCAATGCATCGGAGTGTGAAAATCCTCTATTGTGTTTCTTAGTCAAGGAATGCTGTCTCAAGTCCTCAATCTTTTTCGCAATAGCCTTTGCCTGGTTCTACACATAATACTGTCAATAAGTGCTCTGCTTTTTCATTTTTTGGCTGCAGAAAACTGATGCAAGTGACGTGCATAGAGACAAGTACAAGCAAAATACAGACAGACAAATAAGACGGGCTAAATAAACATTTAATGGAAGATAAGGTCTTAGAGAACATATAATTGGAAAAAAGTCTCTGACTCTAAGTTTAAGCCGCTGAGCCAACAATAAGAAATGTTTTAAAAAATCATCCATCTAATTTCGTTAGCATTATTTAGCTATACTTCAGTTTGTTTTTTTCCATTCCACTGAAAAAAGGAATGGAAAAAAAAAGGATCTTACCCTCACCCCACCCCAAAAAAAACCCCCAAAAACTCCAACACCACCAAAAAGAAATGCTAAAAGCAGATGAAGGCCAGTAATATACTGCAATTTCCAATATTTTTATGTTTCTCTAGGGATTTGAATTTATAAGCTAAGTGAATTTGTGGTATTCAGAGAATAGGAAGCTATTGAGTTTTTATAAGAGAACAGCTAATTGTGGAACTAATGAAGGCTAGCTGATTCTCTTAATGTCTGCTAGTCTAAAATACTAGTATACTAGAAGATGGAACATTTATGAGAATATTAAGCAAATGAGATGCGTATGCGAGGAAGTGGTGTGAGAATATAACCACAGCCTTTCTACATGATAGAGAGCAAGGTGAGAACAAATCTCCCCCATTGCGATGTCAATTTTTTAATCACTTTCTCCTCAAGTATTTTTTTCAGTATAGAAAGGAAGGAAACAAAGTGAAGATAAATAAAATTCAAAGCAGGCATGTTTAAGCCATTTTGTCACTTTCAATTTCTCTAAAATATACTTCGAAATTTGAAAATTGAATTTGCAATTATTAATGTATCTAGGTCAGAGTTTTGTTTAGGATAAAAAATTATATTGCCCATATAGTAAACTACAAAATAATTTCGTCCAATACTTGTCATGCAAAGCTGAAGTGCTAACTATATCATGCATAAGGTACCAAGTAATTTCACCTTCTATCCTTACCAGCAAATCCTCAAGGTCCTTGCTGTTGTATAGAATGTGGAAAGATCGGTAGGTATACGGATGATGTTTAGAGAAAAAGTGATCTACACAGCAGCCATGAGTCTTGTGTTCATCGCAGATGGGAATTTCTCGAACTAGAACAGTGAACTGATAAGGTTGATGCCTTAGATTACAAAGTCGCTGTATCCTTTTCATCAATATGTCATTATATTCCTGGAGATGACATGGGAAAGGAAGTCACCTGTTATAACTTGTCTTAATACCAAAGGTCCATATAAAAATGAAACATATCTTACAGGATGCGTAAAGACTGAATGACCCCGTTCATTCAGATAAAGTTATGTAAATATATCGTAATATGCAATGAGGTTATTATTACCTCACCCATAGTTACAATAAACAGCAAATATCCAAGCAAATTGCCTGGCCTGATTTCAACTGCTCATCCAGATTCTGCAATAGATAATTCACTCTTTCATTCATCAAATCTATCGATTCCACTACTAATAGGTTAATCAGCATTCTCTTAGTGTTTTTGAAACGCTCCTACAGGTCTCTGAATATTCAAATGGCTACGTAGTTGCAGTTAAGCTAAATCCAAATAGGTAAAATCACCATGAAAAGGCACAAATGTCAATTTAACTCTTCCACTGTCGTAGTCAATTCAGAATATGAACAGTCTGACCCTTTGTTTGGCCAAATACCTATTGTGCACATAATGCAGAACAGAATACACAAACTACCAAATCCAGTGACATATAGATGGCTAGAATCATTGCTCACCAAAAATTTTGCAATTTAGTCAACCAGTAGATGACCGTTCAAAAAAACCAGATAGCTGGTCTGCAGTAGCACTATATTGATTCACTATAGTGATTCAGATGTTGATTGAGTTAACGATAAACATAACCGACCACTTCAAGAATTTAAATTCTAAAGTGCAAACTAATTCGAATTTTCAAATGCCAGCAAATCTGAAGCCATAAGGTTACTACTATAGAACATTTAACTTAGATAAAACTTTGAACAATTTTGCACTTCAGAAGTTGGTTTTTGTTATCAATCTATATAATGAGGGAGCTAGCATTGTTTGTCTTTAGCTTTTCACGGTTGAGATAGCTTTTCACGTTTGAGATCGCTTTAAGGTTATTCATCTGACAACCCTAATTGATCACCCAAATTTTTTAAGAAGACTTTCATTCTTTTTACAACTCTAAGACTCTCATCTCTCATATAACTTTCTCTCTATCTCATACTTCCATATTTCAGACATTTTAAAATTTAAACACACTTTCTCACTCTCTGTTAGCATTATTTGTCTTTGACTTTTCGTAGGTAAGATCATTTTAAGATTATTCATCTGACGACCCTAATTAATCACCCAACTTTTTGAAAAAGGTTTTTATTCTTTTTACAACTCTAAGACTCTCATCTCTCAAATAACTCTCTCTATCTCATACTCCTATCTCCCAGACATTTTAAAATTTAAACACACACACTCTCCCACTATCTGTTATCTCTCTCTATCACATACCCATCTGACACAACCCAAAAATTTCCCCCCACTCTCTTTCTCATACTCCTCTCTCTCAGATGTTTTAAAATTTAAACACACTTTCTCATTCTCTGTTTTCTCTTTCTCTCTCACACACATACCTATCTGAAATAGACAGATAGTCAAAAAAAATTTGCGACTGAGATTGCTTTAAGATTGTTCATCTGACGGCCCTAATTGATCACCCAACTTTTTGAAGAAGATTTTCATTTATTTTACAACTCTAAGGCTCTCATCTCTCATATAACTCTCTCTATCTCATATTCCCATCTCTCAGACGTTTTAAAATTTAAACACACACTTTCCCACTCTCTGCAATCTCTCTCCCACACCTATCAGATATGGCTCAAAAAATTTTCACTCTCCCTCTCTATCCCATCTCTCAGATGTTTTAAAATTTAAACACACTCTCTCTCTATTATCTCTCTCTCACACATACCTATCTGATGCACCTCAAAATTTTTTAGGTTTTTAGACATTCTTTTGTAAGGTAGTTGAATTTCTGATAGTAAAATTTGACCCAAAAAAAATATAAAACCCAACCTAAAAAAAACAAGTGATATCAATTACACTAAAAAAAAAATTCAAAGCCAAGTTAATTACCATCGGCACTTCCACGCAAACAAAAAGTACAAATATACAATCCATAAATAAAACTTTTAAGTTGTTATTCATACCAAAAATAAATCACTACTGTAGGAAAATCTATAGTTCTCAAAATAAAATAAAATAAAAACCAAAACTCAAGCTAATCACTAATAAAAAAAATAAATGAACAATAAAAAAACAAGTATACCAATTGCACCAAAAAAAATATTCAAAGTCAATCTAATCGTCATCATCACTTCCACATAAACAAAATGTACAAATATCTAATTCATAAATAAAATCGTCAAGCTATTATTCATACTTCATCACCAATATGCTCAAAATTCTATTAAAACCCATATTTCTTAAAAATCCAAAGCTCGAGCTAATCAACAATTAAAAAAAAAGACCAATAAAAAAAATAATAATACCAATTGCACCAAAAAAAAATATATTCAAAGTCAATCTAATCGCTATGTGTTGAAATTATTCAAATGTCCTATCATTGTGTGTTGAAATTTTACAAGTAATATAGTATTTTTAGGCACAGCCAATGAATCAATGACTAGTCAATTGATAAGACATCAATTTTCAGACACACAGCAGCCAAGAGATGTGATTTCACTGTCCCGTGATTCCAGCCGTATCATACATGTAACATTAATATGTTACCAAAATAAAGACACATAAATAAGATGGCAATCGAGTGAAGTTCAGATGATGGTCTAAGGATCATAACAACTACTAAATTTGTGAAGTTATGCGATTTATAGTTCAGATGATGGTTCAAGGGTCATAACAACTACCAAATTCGTGAAGTTATGCACTGTTGGAGTATAGTCTAGTTTATTAGGATTTCTTTCCCCTTTTTTACCCTTACTACGACTTTTATATTTTACCTAGACTACAAGGATGTTTAGGTCACTGTGTATTCTTATTTGGCTATATATACGGGGCTCTACTCTTAGTTTGAATATCTCATTCACTCACAAATATTTTTAGTTGGTATCAGAGCCAAACTCAAACGCAAACCCTAACTCTAACTTCCACCATACTTGGCAACCACAATTCCCCGACAAACCAGCCACCAATTGCCCAGGCCACCCACCATTCCACCGACAAAATACCATCCCACCGACTTCTTTTCCTCCACTGCCCATCCACCGACAGCCCCATCCTTCACTGCCCAGCATAAAACCGACCAGCATAACCCAGCGACAAGAACCCAGCATAAAACCGACCAGCCTAAAACTTAACCGACAGCCGAGCCACATAAAATACTACACCTTCCCACAACCCAACAGCCCAACGACATAAAATACTACCTCAATCCAAGTCTCTCAAACCAAAGCAATACAGCACCGACATACCCATACCACTTGACATACCCATAGCACCAATAAGCCAACACAAATATCCAGCCCATCACTGAAAATACACTGCCCATTACCCACACACTTTCAAGCCACCAACTGCCTCTCCAGCTGCCAAGCATACAAGCACGAAGCCGACTGCCACTGGTACCACCGACTGCCTCTTCGTTACACTGCCGACAAATCAACACAAATACCCAGCCCATCACCGAAAATACACTGCCGACTGCACCCAAAGCCCACATCAAACCAACAAACCAAACATAAGGTCAACAACCCAAACCAGCCCAGTACCCACTCCAGCGAACCAGCCCACTGTCGGATCGCTCTCTTCCTCGCAGCTTCGTGTTTTGCCTTCGTGGGCCAAATTATTTGGGACCGTATGACCTTTTAAGAGGGGTTGAATCCTCTTCTCCGTTGATATGCTTTTGATGCAGTAAATCACTTATTTATCTTTATTGGATTTCTAGGCACCGTGACCTGATGATTTGGGAGTTTTCTGGACCTTTTTTATCTGTCGCTACAGTTTGACAGGAGGTATATTGTTCTCCCTTATTTTGTCCCTCTATTTATCTTAGAGTTGTTTTTCTGTTACGGTTGTCCTAGTATTGTTGATGATATGACTACTACTGCGGGAGTTGAGACCCCTACCGTTGAGATATCTGTTAGTACTTCTATCGGGTATAGGGTTGACAGCGCTCGGCCCAACGCCGTCAGGGTACCCCACAACAGTGTAGACATGGGAATTCTCATCAGTGTGACTATTGTAGCTGACTAGGACATCTCAGGGTTGCTTGTTAGAAGCTCCATCCAGAGCTTAAGCCACCTCCTCGCAGCCGTACTGCTGTCATTGCTGAGGCACCACCACCTATAGTCATTGCTCCTACTACTACAGTTACTGCTCTTCCTTGGCAGAGTGATATGGATGCTATCACTTTTCGCTTGGATATACTTATGTCAGCCCTAACTTCTCAAGGTTCGACTACTACTATTATGACTACTACAGGTATACCTCGTGCCTTTCCTACTTGCACCAGTCCGTCTCCCCTTTGGATGTTGGACTCAGGTGCAAATGGTCATACAACAGGTGCAGCCCATCATTTCACCTCTTTTGACGAGCAGTTACATACTCAAGTTCAGTTAGCAAATAGTACACATGCCTCTGTTGTTAGTAAGGGTACAGTCCGCCTCCTAGATAACTTTACATTATGTTCGGTGTTTCATACGTCAAAGCTGGCCATGAACCTATTATATGTACATCAGTTAGCCAGAGATTTTCACTGTATAGTTATGTTCTTATCTGATTTGTGTTATTTGCAGAACTTGAATACTGAGAGGATTATTATTAGGGGACATGAGAGAGATGGACTATATTATTTAGGCGATCCACCTCTGGTTTCACCAGTTTCTCCACCTCCACTTTCATCATCTGCTTTGTCTTTATATGTTCCTAGCTTGCATGCTAGTATTTTACCTAATACTTGTCATTATGATTTTTCATCACAAATTATTCAGTTGTGGCATGACCGTTTTGGGCATACAAATTGTAAATATTTATGTATGTAATTTCCTGCTTTGAGTAAAACTTGTGTTAGTGGTAAACTTGACTGTGTTATATGTTCCCTATCAAAACATATTCGGACCAGTTATATTCCTCGCATGTACCAGTCACCCAAACCATTTGACCTAATACACTC